GAGGTTTGCAAATGGGAAAATCTCAGTGTAATGTTTTAGCTTTTTTTTTTTTTTTTTGGTCTTTTTGAGACAGGGTCTTGCTATGCAGTTCAGGCTGGCGTTGAGCTCACTTTGTACCCCAGGCTGGTCTTGAACTTGGAATGATCCTCCTGCCTCAGCCTCACAAGTGCTGGGATTATATGTGTGTGCCACCACGCCCGGTTTGCACTAACGTAATTTAACCAAAGCTGCCCCAAAGCCCTGAAATGTCCTCAGCGGTTCTGGTCCAGAAGAGATGCCAGCTGTGGTATTTGGTGAATGGTACCATGTGCGGGGCCAAAGGCCGCGGGGTATTTTATTTAGTCCTTTGAACTGTAAATGTGCTTGATTGATTGATTATTTATTTGGTGGTACTGGGGCTTGAACACAGGGCCTTCACATTGAGCTACATTCCTGACCCTTTTTTTTTTTTGATTTTGAGACAGGGTCTTGCTAAGTCACTAAGTTGACTAGGTTGGGCTCTAGCTGTTGACTATACCCCGAGCCTCTCCGATACTGGGATTACAGGTGTGCGCCACCACACCTGGTTTGTTTTGGTTTTATGTGGCCCAGGCTGGCCTTGAAAGACAGACAGATGCTCCTGTCTCAGCCTCCCAAGTGGGATTATGAAGGTGGACCAACGTGCCTGGTTCTTGTCAGAGCTGTGCTCCTCTGTGGGGGGAGAGTGAGAGCCTCGGGCTGAAGGTCAGGGCGGCAGTGCTCCCTGTGCTAAGCTTTGAGGGAGCCCGCTGTCACTGGACACTGCGGGAGGTCGCCCCCCAGGGGCTCCAGTCCTTCCGGGCGCTGGGCCTGCCCGCTGCACTCTCCCGGGGTTCCACTGTGAGCAGCGCTGCATTACCCAGGCAAAGGTGCTCCCTGCAGAGTTGAGTGGATGCTGAGAGAAGGTCCTGGGTTCCATCCCCAGGACCCAAACCAAACAAGACAAAAAAAGCACAAAACCCAAAACAAACAAAACCCAAGATCTCTTATGTAGCCTGGGTCGGCCTTGAATTTACAGTCCTGCCTCAGCCTCCTGGAGCTGAGATCACCAGCATATACCGCCAGACCCAGCTGGGATGGGGTTTTTGACTATGATATTTTCCTGAGGGGCTGAGCAAGGCACCCGCTGTGGTCTGTGTGGTGCAGCAGCTGCGCTGACTGCTGTTGCTCCCTGGCCGGTCCAGGTGGATCTCGCCCCTCCTCCCCGAGCAAGTGCAGAGCTCTATGCCTCGCCCTCCGGACTGCGGAGGAAGCAACCTGGCTCCGCCCGGGGCTGAGCTTGGCACTGCACAGTGCGCTGATCCGTCCACCGGGCAGTGCACGTCTGACAATGACCACCCTGGTCACCTTGTGGCAGGGCCTGGATGCCTTCCCTGCCCAGGGAGACAGTGGGTTCTTGGCCTCCTAAATATTCAGAAAAGGCAGCTCAGAAGTCCTGGGGAGTCAGAAGTGTGTCTGACACAGGTCTTTTTCAGATAGGGTCTAGCTATGTAGTTCAGGCTGGCCTTGAGCTCATTGTGATCTTCCTGCTTCAGCCTCCTGAGTGCTGGGATTACAGGTGTGTGCCACCATGCCCCAAAGATTTGCCTACATTCCTGATCTGAAGAGGTTAATAAAACTTTTCAGTAACTTTTCTTCTACCAGAAGTTTAAATTAAGTTTCTGTCCCAGCATCAGCTTTTTCAAGCGTTCCATTAATTAATATGGGCTACAGACATGAATTTTTTCCGTGAGCTAACCATGGGAAATTTATTCTTTTTATTTTAAAGAGAAAAAAATAAAAATTTCGAAACAGGGTAATAGGAGAGTAACAATGGTTAATACATTGGGTGTTATTATGTTTAGCTTTTAAAAAGACAATAATATTATACTAATTTCTTTCAACCAAATCCTACAGCAGCCACATATGGAAATTTCCTGGCCCCAGTGCCTGGCGGGTGCCAGGTGGTGCGAGGCCATCCGTGTGGGTCATGTTGGCCTCACCTGAGGGTGTTGACTTCTTCGGGCGGCCCTTCGGGTCCGCACTGACGACGTCACCTCCCTGGGGAGGTCATGGGGGGACCTCAGTGGCCACTCAGCCTGTGGGTCCAGTGCCTCCTTTCCCTGGGAATGACCTTTGAACTCCCTCGCTCAGACGTTTCTATCACACATCTGTAGAGAGCATGTGGGTGTGAGCATGGTGGCATCTGAGTGTAGCTGTGAAACCAAGACGGAAGCCTGCGGGTGCCAGCGCCGTGGTCACTTCGTTTCCTGCCTGGTGTGCAGATCACCTGGCAGAGCCAAGGACCGCAGACCGACAGGCACGTGCTGGCTTTGGTCCCGGGGACACACGAGTCTGTCCTCCTCGTTGGGCTTTGTCCTTCAGTGTTTCAGACAGGCCTGGGCCTGTGTACCAAAGTGCATTCCCTGAGGCCCCTTTCCTTCTCGGGGCGCCAGTTCTGGGTTTCGTTAGCTGCACAGACAGAGGCTGCCTGCGAACGCAGCTGGCCAGCTGTCCTCAGAGCGTGGCAAAGCACTTCAGAGGGCTCCGCTGTGTCCCCACTTTAACCTGAGGGCGTGCGTCACTCGCCGGCAGCTTCGCGTGTGCATGTGCTGTGTGTGCGCATGTGCGCTGGGAGTCTGCATCAGCAGGACGGAGCCTTGGGCTCTGCGTTCACACTTGTCCCCTGTCCCTGCTTTGTGGCTGTAATGACTGTTGGTTTTTCTCTGTGAATTTTTCCAGGAGCTTCACTGTTAAAAGCCGTGTAGTAAATAAACATCCTTGCTCATAGATCTGTGCCCTTTTGCACGTTTCTGTAGGAGAGCACCTCAGAGGCAGCAGTGTGGGTAAAGAGTGAATTAAATCCATGCAGAACTCTCGAGATGCTGCCGAGTCGCCCTTGTAAAGTCCACACCCCTCCCATTTTCCTGTGGACACCGGACAGTTAACCTTTAGCAATGAATGAATGTGGTTGAGTCTGGACGGTAAAAGGTGCTATCTTACTACTCTGGTTTGCATTCTTTGCTTTAGAGAGGTCCATGTATTGTTTGTTTGTTTGTTTTTGAGACAAGGCCTTTTTATGTAGCCCATCTGGCCTTGAGCTCTTGATTCTCCTGCCTCAGGCTCCCAGGTGTCAGAGTTGCATGTGTGGGCCTGTGCCCTCAGGAGAGCTCCATGCACTGCCGCGACTACGCTGCACCACCATTGTGCCAAGTCCTGTGTGCTGTCAAAAAGGGGGGAGCCGTCAGCTCCTGCGGGTCACAGGCACCAGCTGGGCTGGCTCAAGGGCTTCCCAAGCCCCTGTCCCGGTCTCTCTGGGAGCCACAGTCCGCTGAGCCTGGGGCCCTCCTCTCAATGCCTGGCTTCCCGCCCCACCCCCCGTGCCCCCGGGCACTCTTGCTCTTGAGTGGACGGTGAAGCCCTGGCCCAGCTGCTGTGTCCAGGCTGACATGGCAGATGTGATGATGGAGGCCCAGGTTTTCTAATGGGTCAGGACAGCGGCATGTGGCTAGTGCGAGGACCGCATGCACGCACGCTTCCGGTCATAGCCAGGGCACCGCCTGCCTCTGAGCAGACCACCGGAACTGTCCTGTGGAGCGCCATCCGGGGGACCGTGAGGCTGGGGTGGCCCAGAGCAGGCATGGTGACTTTGTGAGAGTCCCCGAATCTTGAATTCTTGTCTCATATGTTCTTCTCCAGTCTGGATCCTTTTCAGAAGTCCGCGTCATTAAGGCAAAATGTGCGTGGAATAACATAAGCCCACTGAGAACCTCTAGGTGCTCACTGTGTGCCGTGCACACACACGACCACGCCCAGACCATGGGGCGCTGCTTCCCCCAGCGCGCTCTGGAACCCCGGGCCAGTGTCAGAGGGGAAAGACCTTGTCCTGTCCTGCTGCGTCCTCAGCTGGGGCCCTGGAAAGAAAGAGAGGGACAGAGAGAAAGAGAGATTCAGGCCAGCATGCTAGTGTGTGTCTATAGTCCCAGTCACTGGGGAGGCTGAGGCAGGAGGATCACTTGCACCTATGAGTGCCAGCCTGGGCAACATAGAAAACCAAACGAAACAAACCAGTGGCAAAAAGAATGAAATAAAAAAGAGAAAAGTATATACATTTATTTAATATGCCATTATGTCTGCTTGAGCCACCTTTTGAACCCTATCACGGATTAACCTTCCACCTTGCCCTGGGTAAACTATCTGTAACTATAGGTTAGTGCAGCAGGGTGTGGTGGTACACGTGTAATCTCAGCACTCGGGAGGCTGAAGCAGTAGGATCACCATGATTTTGTCCAACCTGGGCTACATAGTGAGTTCAAGACTAGCCTAGACCCCATAGTGAGTCCTTGTGTCAGGAAGAAAAAAAAAAGGTTAGTGTATCAGTTATTGTACTTCTCCTGAATTAAGCTATACAGTCTGTATCCTTTCTTCCTTCCTTTCTTCCCTTTTTTATTTTCTAAGACAAGATCTCACTATGTATCCCAGGCTGGCCTCAAACATTGATCCTCCTGCCTCAGCCTCCTGAGTGCTGGGCTTATAGGTGTGCACCACCACCCTCAGCTTGATTTGGGGCTTCTATAAACAGAAATAGTGTGATCTTTCTGTGCGCGTCTTTTTGTGGATGTTCACTGTCACTTCTGGTAAACACTAGTGAGTCTGGAAGCGTTGTTCACACGGTACATGTGTTTTTAACTCAGGAGGAACTACCTTGAGTACATGAGTGTAGTCAGAGAAGAAGGAAAGCGCCAGCCCCTTTGCCTGGTGCCCTGTGATCTGCAGCGCAGCCCCAGCTGCCCAGCCCTGTCCTTCCCGGGCCCTCGCCCATCCCTTGGGTCCAGTCCTGGTCCCTGCATGGTGGGCGTGGCACCCGGGCATGACCCGATGCTCTGAGCATTTGTGGTGGGAAGTGCAGCGTGTCCTCGGGGTGTCACGCTCCTCGCTTTCCTATGGAGCACAGACACCTCTGCACCATGGGACTCATCTTTGTATTTCGAATTTTTCCTCAGGTTTCTTTGCAAGTGAATGAAGAGAAAACCCAAGATGCCCGAAAACCCGGCCACAGGTAGGCGTGACCGGCCCTTGTGTTCCAGGTCAAGGGTGGCATGTTGCAAGCTGCGTGTCGTGGGTCGTGGGTCGTGGGTCGTGGGTCTCTTGTTGGGGCGGTGCAGGGACGGGTGCTCATGGCTCCTCCCCTAGACAAGCTGCAGGTGCTGCAGGTGCTCGAGCGGCTGCGGGCCAAGCTGCAGGACAAAGGCGACACGTCGCAGCACGACACGCTGTCTGCCTTCTGCGACACGCTGCAGAGCCCACTCTTCACCCAGATCCTCACACTGCAGAAGTCCCTGCGGCAGCTGAAGGGCCAGGTGAATCCCAGCGGGGAGCCTGCGGGAGGACAGGAGGGGACTGACAGCCAGGTGTCCCGCAGGCATTGGCTCGGTAGTAGGGAACGGAGTGGCCTTGCCCTGGGGTGGCATTGGCTGGGAGCTGCCAGGTGTTGGTAATGCGTTTTAGATTGGGCTCTGGAAGGTTCCTGTACTTACTTAAATATGTGGGCCAGGCTCAGCGGCCCACACTCGTCATCCCAGCACTCAGGAGGCTGAGGCAGGAGGATCTCCGTGAGTTCAAGGCCAGCCTGGTCTACATAATGAGTTCAAGGCCAGCCTGTACTACACGGAGAGACCCTGCCTCACAGGAAAAAAAAAATAGCCTAGGGTGGTGGTGCATGCCTGGCTGTGCTTTACTTCTTTCATATGCCTGTCTCTGTCTGTCTGTCTGTCTGTCTCTCTCTCTGTCTTCATTTATGTTTTAATATTTTGGACTGGGCTCACTGTGCTGCCCAGGCTGTCAGCCTCCCGAGCAGTTAGGATGACAGGCGTGTGCCCAGCCTCATACCTACATGTCCCATGTGCCCTCCCCTGCCCTGCGAACTGTGTGTGAGAGCAGTAGAACCCCTTCCTGAGGACTCTTCGGTCACTCTCTGGCTCTTCCCCCAGCTCAGCCACAGCCCCTCGGCGACTCTTGCCAACTTCGACTTCTCCCGGAAGGGCCTGCTAGTGTTCACCGACCCCGGTGCCAATGGGCACGCACCCCGGCCTGCTGATGCCTGTGCAGCTGCCCCGGGACCTGGCCCTTGGGCCCCACAGCTGGGCGGCGACAGCTTCAGTGCCACGGTGGAGCGGCTGGCTCAGGTGAGCTTGCGTCTCCTGTTCCAGGTTAGCGTGGGAAGCGGCGTGTCCTCTGCCGACCTTGTAGCGGTCCCCAGGGGATGGCACCGTGACCTCATCCATCCTCGGAGACTGCGCTGTTTCCAGCCTGTCTCTTGGAGGCAGAGTGTAAAATCCCACGGGAAAATCCGTGTCAGGAGGAGAGTTTTAGGCAAAGATTCCAGTGGGAATCGAACGTCTCCCTGCTAAGAAAAGAGAACCCTGCCTGGTGTGATCCCCCTAGACAAGCTGCAGGTGCTGCAGGTGCTCGAGTGGGGAGAGTGGACATCTGCATAGGAGAGATGAAACAGTCCTGAAGCTTTTTAATTTTATACCAAAATGAACTAGTTGGAAATAAAAGGGAAATAATTTGAAAGAGTAACCCCACTGGAGCCCCTGTTCCTATTAAAAGTTAGATGACAGTTGAATTTTGGGGTGGGTTAATTTTGTGTTTATTCATTTTGCCACCTAATAATAGCTCTGCACATGAAATTTGAGTTTGAAACTTAGAGCTGACTGAATTGGGCAAGGTGCCATCTGTTACCCGTAATCTCAGCTGCCAAGAGGGCTGAGGCAGGAGGGTCGTGAGTTTGGGAACAGCCTAGACCCTTTAGCAAGACTATACCTCACAATAAAATGTAAAGTAAAACCAAGTGAAAATAAACTAGTCTGCTTAAAGCATGGTAGTTAGGTATTGTTTGGGGTATTTTTTTTGGTATTGGGGATTGAACCCAGGGCTTTCAAACCAAGATATATCCCTAGCCCTTTTTGTTGTTGTTTTTTTTTTGCCCCCCGGTACCAGGAATCGAACTCACGACCTCGAGCTTGCCAGGCAGGCGCTGTGCCACTGAGCTAAATCCCCAGCCCTATCCCTAGCCCTTTTAATTTTGAGACAGAGTCTCACTCCATTGCCTAGGCTGGGTTTGAACTTGTGTCCTCCTACCTCAGTCTCCCAGAGTGCTGGGCTAACAGGCATGCTCCTCCACACCTGGCTCAGTTCCACTTTTTTTTTTTTTTTGGTTTTTTTCCTGGACCGGGAATCGAACTCACGACCTTGCACTTGCCAGGCAGGCGCTGTGCTGCTGAGCTAAATCCCCAGCCCCCTCAGTTCCTTTTTGACTTGCTGGGAGGTGTGTGTCGGTGAACGGCCAGCGCCGGCCCTCTGTTCTCTGTTCCGCAGGGACGGCAGGTGGAGTGCATCGACATCGAGCGGCCGCCTGCCGGGGGCCTCGGCTTCAGCGTGGTGGCCCTGCGGAGCCAGCGCCCGGGGGAGGTGGGCATCTTCGTGAAGGAGGTGCATCCGGGCAGCGTGGCCGACAGGTGGGGCGCGGTGCCTTCCTGCCGGTTCTGAGGCGTTTCCATCGTTACTGTTACTGTCATCATTACCATGGTCTCTCAGGTCACACTCAGCCCAGCAGCGGGGCTCCGGGTCTGGAGCTCGGGCTCTGCCTTCGGGAGCTGCAGCCCAGTTGGACGCAGTCAGCCCTGGGGAGCAGAGGCCGAGCCGGAGCGGGAGAAGCAGCTCAGTGGGCAGGGGCAGCGTGGCGGTGGTCAGGGCGGCCGAGGCCCAGCGCGGAGGGATTGGGCGGAGCCTCCAGCGCCCGCGCTGACCCCGGCTCCGGGTTGCCCCTGCTGTCCGCCGCTGTGCCCTGCACAGTCAGGCGAGGGCACGGGCTTCTCACCGTGCAGCGAGCATGCGTGTCAGGGTCAGCCCGGGTCCCCGACAGATCCTTCCCCCCTGAAGCAGTCTCACGGGCGTCTGCTGTCTCCTGTGGAGGGCGCTCGCTCTCTCTTATTTTTTTTTTGAGACAGGTTTTTTATTTATTTATTTATTTATTTATTTATTCATTCATTCGTTCAGTACTGGGAATCAGACTCACGACCTTGTGCTTTCCAGGCAGGCACTGTGCTGCTGAGCCCCAGCTCTTGAGACAGGTTCTTGTTATGAAGTTCAGGCTGGTCTGAACTCATGGCGATCCTCCTGCCTCAGCCTCCCCAGTGCTGGGATGACAGGTGTGCGCCACCGCAGCCCACCTGGGGGTCTCTTTATGGGGTGATAGCAATGCACGATTAGCACACATTGTGCTCATGGACTCACGTGCTTACACCCTCCTCACACTTACACACTCGCTCTCATGCGGGCCCAGGCCGTACTGAACCTGGGACCCTCCTGCTCCTGCCATGTGATCTTGGGGTGATGGGCGCACACCCCCAAGGCGACAGGCACCCCGACTCCCAGAGGGCAGAGGGAGCAGCGCCCAGCAGGCCTGGGGGCAGCGTTTTAGGGCTCCAGGGCACAGGGCTGGGTGTGCAGCGGGAGTCATGGCTTTGAGCGGCACCGAGACCCAGCAGACCTGCACTCCCTGCCAGAGCTGCGGAGGAGGCACTGTGCCCCGCTGCGCTGCACTCTGGGTGAACGGGCCTGCGGAAGGGCGCAGGAGGGCGCCACGCGGTCCCCGGGAGCACAGACTCCCCGACCCGGTGCTTGTTGCTGTCACCCGCAGTGAGCCTGTGAGAAGAGGTTTTCATAGTTTCCTTCCCACCTGGCTGGGAGATGGGTTCCTGAAGGACGCGGTGCCATACCTTGGCAGCCGAGCTCCTCAGAGAGGGAGGACAGGTGGGCGTCCCCGGCTGGTGATCAGGCTGGGGCCGGGCGAGGACACACCGCCCACTGGGCGAGTCGGCCAGGACTGGAGCCCGCTCCTGCGGTGTTCCTGCTCGCCAAACCCCTGCAGGGCGCCGAAATCGTTCGTGTTTCTTTTCCTAGGCAGATGGCTTTTAAAATTGCGTGACTGTGCGTGCATGTGTGCACACTGCGTGTGTGTGTGCACATGTGTACGTTTGCCCGTGTCTGCGTTTGTGTACGTGTGTGTGCACACATGCAGCCTGCATTGCCTGCATGGTAGGTAACTGGGTATTGGGTCGCGGACCAAGGGCACGGCGCTGCCTGTCGAGTGTGCAGCACTAGTGAGCCTGTGGGTGTGCAAAGTGAACAGCACCGTGAGCAGCATGCTGTTCGCTGCTAGTGTTACCGACCATGCTGCGGACCGCTTCAAATACATTCTTTTCCCCGCGACGCAGGGATCAGCGGCTGAAGGAAAATGACCAGATCCTGGCCATCAACCAGACGGCCCTGGACCGGACGGTCTCCCACCAGCAGGCCGTCGCTCTGCTCCAGCACAGCTCGGGGCCCCTGCGCCTCGTGGTGGCCCGCGAGCCGGGGTGCACGAGCAGCGGGACGCCCGCCAGCCCGGTGCCCGCTGCTGCGCCCGACACGGTGAGTGTGGGAACACGCGGCCCTGGCTTGGGCAGACGTGAGGATGCTCAGAAGACAACAGCACACGTACATCAAGGAAGACGGTCGTGTAAGCCAGCGCAGCATTGGCGGCTGGTGCTCAGACCCCGTGTTTCACAGAGGGTGTTTCTGTTTTGGGTTTTTTGAGACTGGCTGTGTTGTGCAGGCTGCCCTTGAACTCACAGTGATCCTCCTGCCTCAGCCTCCCAAGACAGTTTGTTTTTTTTTTTTTTTTTTGCTCTTTCAATGTCCTGTGGGTTTTCTTAAGATATTTTTTACATATAGGCCATGCTGAATACTAGGTATAATTTATTTGATGATGGAAATTCTTATGTGCCTTGATGATGTAGCCAATTAATTAATTGAGGGTTTTTACTAGAGATTCACTGTTGAGCGGCTGAGGTTTATTTATTTCAAAAGCATTATTTCTGAAATGATGGTGCGAGTCAGGGCTAGGTTACTGATGCTACAGGACTGCAGTTCCTTGTTTCCACGGAAGGGTGTGCCCTGCCCCGCTGGAAGAAGAGCGTCTGTCTCTTCTGGGAACCCTGAGCCTTGCTTTGTAGGTTTTGGCTGCATCTTCAGAAGGCAAAGTAACAAGTCTTACGTCCTTAGAACACTGAGCGCTAGCCGATTTCTTCACTCTTCCCTGGTCCCCCGGTGCACAGCGAGGTCACGCTCGGGTCAGCGTAGGGCGCTGCTGTGGCGCCAGTGGCACTTACGCAGCAGCAAAGCCAAGGCAGCATGCAGCGGGCGAGGCGCAGCGTAGGGTGAGGCGGGCTTCCCGGGCTGCTGCCCAGGTACCGGGTGGTGCTCCAGCTAGGACGTCGATGCACCGTCCCAGCATGTCAGCTGTGCGTTTGATTATGTGATTACTGTGTGCGTGGTCCCGGGGCCCGAGCCCGGGGCCTTCTCACAGAGAAGCACCCTTGCCAGCCCTTCCTTCGTGTTTTACTTTGAGGCAGGTTCTAGAGGTAACTAAGTTGCTGAGGTGAGGCTTGAACTTGCGTCCCCCTGCCTCGGCCTCCCCCACACTGCAGGAGTCACAGGCCTGTGTGATCACACCCGGCCGGGAGGCCTTTTCCGCCTGTGCGGTTGTTCCTACTTCTCTGCTCAGCTCAGCTCAGCCCCTGCGCGGTTCTGCCCTTGGGCTTTGCAGCCCCGCCCCCTGCGCTCACCCATCATCCTCTGTAGGGCGGTTGTTCTGCTTTGTTTTGATTTTTGAGACAGGGTCTTGCTAGTAGCCCATGGTGGTCTTGAACTCACAGAGATCCCCCTACACAGCCTCTTTGAGTGCTGGGATGCAGGCGTGTGCCACCGCTCCCGGCTCTACCACAGTTTAAGCACCTGCCCCTCACCCTGAATTGTGGGTCTTATGTGTGTGTGTCCACGTGCGTGTATGTCTGTATATATGTGTGCATGTATACTTCTGTGTCCGTGTGTTTCTCTGTGTGTGCATGTCTGTGTACATGTGTGTGTGCATGTTTGCCTCTGTGTCCATGTGCATGTGTGTGTGTCTGTGTAT